AAAAAATCATTAAGGAAATATATTTTATTTTTAATTGAAATAAATTTTATGAATAATATTTTTTAGATGCAAGTACTTTTTCTTAAGTATAAGTAATTTTTTGGTATATTTGTTTATTTTTGTAGATTTAAGTATTCTTTTGGTTCAAAAAATGTTTAGGAACTTAATCGTTCAAAATATAAAAGTTCGTTGGCTTTTTTTTCAGACTTTTTTCATTATTTTACCACATTAATCAGCTGTATAGGTAATAAAGATGTATCTAACAGGTTTTAGAAAGTACAATAAATTATTTAATATGTTTTGAAATGTCCAATGACTTATTTGTTTCAAAAAATTGTTCAATGACTTAATCATTCCAAACACTAAAGTCCATTGGGTTTTTTTAGACTTTTCTAAAAAAAAAAATTAACTAGTTGTTCATTTTATTGTTTCTGTAGGTTTTTTATCTACTACAAAAATCTAAAACTATTTTGCCTAGAAGACATTGATATATTTTTCATCATTCATCATGAATTTTATTTTTGTATTATAATATAGTAGATTTCTTGTTATTAACTAAGAAAACTCGTACCTTTTGAAAAAGATTATCAACCATATGAAACGATCTAACTTACATCTATATTTATGATTTCAAAACTATTATTGTTTGACATACATTATTGACTTCTTATTACCTAATATTGAGTGCATGAATCTTAAGTGTTCTCCTATCACTAAACAACAATAATATGGTGATAAAAACATGATCTGACATGAAAACTAAATTGATTTATACTGATTTACATAAAGTGTTGTTATAAATAGTTTACATTGTGCCCCCAAATAATGGCAATCTATATACCAAAGGTATATTATAGAATGTGTTTGTCAGTAAATGGATTGACGATACTGTGAAAAATGATACGATAGATAATAGTAATTTAGAAGTAATTATTGGTTGATTTTGCGTCTAATAATATACTCGACAAAAAGGTTTTATATAAATTATAAGCATTTTTGTATTTCAATGCTATTTCTGATGATAAAAACAATATATTGAATTTTTTTAGTCTTTAGTGAGGGTCCGTTTTTTACATCTCATCCACAGCCTATAAAATGTCAGGAATAGACCTATAAGAATTTCTTTTCTTGCGTTTAAGTCTTTCATTGCAAAAAAAATTCAGAAAAATAATAAATATGAAATAAAGAGCTAAAAACTAAGAAAATGACACTAACAAGATTCAAACTCAGGTATAAGATGGAGGAAAAATCTTGCAAACCAACTCTACCAAAAAAAACTTGTGTCCTTATTGGAGTACAAAAAATATATGGTGACATACAACAAATCGATACGGTTATACTTTTCATGAACCTAATTTTTTATGATTTGACAGAAGGATAATACGATCGCACATTCCACTTGTAGCATTACATTAGCTTCGTCCCTGGTTGCAAGATTGGATTTCGTTGGATCAGCTCACCAATGCATTTTTTTTCAAGATTTTATAAGTAAATAATGATCAAATATGATTACAATGATATGTTAGGTTCTAGTGAGAAGGAGAGCTAAGATAAGAATCGTAAGAAGAGATCTTCACTCTTAGATACAAATTAGGACGAGATACACCGAGTCAATCCCTGTATCAAACGCAATTCATGAGTGAGTTTGAGATTAAAGGTGATAAAAGGGTCCACATTCCTTCTTACACTTCTCACCTTCACTCTCGTTCTCACATGATCTTTCGCCTTATAATAACAGTTTATATGTGTTTATGAGAATCTTTTATCGAGTATGAATCGAATGAAGTTAGCTTTTTAAGTGCGATCATTCTTTAAATTGTGTTCAACATATGGCTAAGGTCGATTATTAGCAAACTAGTTCGATATTCGTTGGGTTATCGTCATTATCGTTTAAAAACAATGATACAGAGGAGCCGCTTTTCGACAAATGAACACAAGGAAGGAAAGGTTTTCCACCAAATGGGAGTCTAGGTATCTGCTTAAGTGATCTGCTAGAAGCTATGTATCTACTTATCATATTTTTGGCCCTGCTCGCCCGCCTGCCGACCCATGATTTCAGTGTTATCTCATTCGGTGTTGGATGATTATTAAACATGTGCATATTGGTTCATGATCCATTATAAGTATAGGTGGCAAATCGAGGTAGTTGGGTGGGTTAATGAATCAAATGGATCCATTTTTAAGCCGCGGATTCAAGATTTTCGTCGAATAAGTACATTTTTAAGGTGAATCAAAGACTCGTAAATCGATTGATGTCTCTTTAGCTGAATTCCGTCGTTTCGAGGGACTGTTTCGGTTTTTTGTTTATTTCAAAAGATTTTTTAGTTGATGAGTGTTGTATTTTCTAATATGCTTGAGTACCCTCCAAAAAATTCTATCTGCAAAAGTCAGATTGAATGGTTGTATGAGATCCTGCTGAAAACTTAATTCCTCTTGCACTCAATTGGGGTTATTTAGCTGAATGACCTCCTGCCAACAGCTTCCTAATTTTCTATGCATTCTTCTAAGATTTGTTGAAGGCCATTTAACCAAAGGACCCTGTCATGTGCTATACGTCCTAAGATCGTTAACATTCACGAGATACGAGTGTGCTATATGTATTACAGGATTATTGCTACAAAAGTTTTAAAAACATCCCTACACCGACCTCAGAAGCACGTATTTTTGTTCCTACTATATTGTCCTGATAGAAAGAGGGCGAAGTTTCGACAACAGGGTCTCTGGGTTCAAATCTGGCCCCACCTACCCCACCCTAGGACACTGTGACTTACCTCTTTATGATGGTTGTGAGACCGGTAAAGCAAGGTGCTCTGGAGGGTAACACAGAACCTCTTTTCCCACAAGATCATATCTTGGCTACTAACGTCCACAAATTCTTTCGAATAAGATTCCTGCAACGCAAATACTTATATACAACATTTTGAATTCAATTGTACTTCCCTGTTACAAACAGGTAATGGCCGAACGATATACAACTGAAATTAACACTAAATATGTATGCATTATTCTGTTCTTGTCACTGACTCATTTTTACCAACAGGACCAAACTCCCTACCAAAAACAACATAAAAGCCATGGTTGATGCCAATCTATTAAACGTCTGAAATTTATTTCGTTTTTTTTTTCTGTTAGCCAAACCTGCATTTCCTCCTGTACATGGATAAATACATAGTAGCGCATGTAGAGTCGAGTCAAATACCGTTGCTGTTTAAGCCTGTTCGTATCCCTTGAGAATGTTGTACTTGCAAAGGGGACAAGTCGCATTCATTTTCAGCCATTTCACGATGCATGTTGCATGGAAATGGTGGTTGCAAGGAAGTGAATGGAGTTCTGTTCCATCTTCATATGGGCTTAGACATACACAGCAGTCCTGAAAGAAAAACATTTGATTCATATGTGAAGATGAAGGTATTGTTGTCTAAGACACCCTTCTGATTGAAGGATCAATATAAGTAGCTTCAACTCATTTGTATGACGGTAATGGTCAAATAGGGAATTATGGCATTAAATTTCAAAACCATGAAAATGCTAGAAAATTTGTGGGATGGAGGCATCAATTAACTAAAGAGAAAATCTCTTGCATAGGTGCAGAAAGAAAGATGAACCATAGAAGATCAATATTCAACTTGCTCATCACATAGAAACTACTAGAAAGTTGTGAACATAATTATTGATGGTTTTCTAACAGAGGACCCATTTACAACTTGAATACATTGCCAAAAACTAATGCCGATGTCTTCTAGATTCTCTGAGGCCTAAAAGTAGCTTCTAGAATAGATTTTTAACCTTGTTTGCATAAGAACGAATAACACATTCATGATGAATATGGAAGTGTTATTCATCATGAATGTGTTATTCGTTCTTATGCAAACAAGGTTAAAAATGCCTATCTATTCTAGCAGCTACTTTTAGGCCTCAGAGAATCTAGAAGACATCGGCATTAGTTTTTGGCAATGTATTCAAGTTGTAAATGGGTCCGTGTTATTCATCATGAATCACACACATTCATGATGAATCATGATGAATAACACTTCCATGTTCCTGATGAATATACCACGTGTCACGCTATGGTCGGTTTCCCGGGTTCCTAATCAATTTTTGGTTCCTAATGGAACCTGCCCCTATGTGTATATATATGGTAAAGGCTTTAAAATATATTTAGTAACTCAAGATAAGTAATCATCAGATCCATCAACTTACTGCATCCTCAGGTAGAAGAACACGTTCTATAGCCAAACAGCCGACATTTGATTCAACAGGAACCATTCTACCTGCTCCCACATCAGGCTTCTCGTCATCATTGGACACCTGAAATCTGTATTTGGGAAGGCTGCTGAGGTCTGCCTCAGATGCACCTTCCTGCATATTACCACTGTATGGTAAAACATTTCATGAAACATGATAAATGGTAAATTTTATAAAAAAAAGGCTGATCTGTCTCACCTGGCCAGCAACTGCATATAGAATTGCAATGATGCAGGGCAAGCAACAACAAAGAGCAATTCCCATCAAACATGCCAAAACAACACAAAAGATGGCAAAGAACACATCAAACGCCAAAAAGACCACAGTCAACCTGCAATCAGAAAAAGAGTGGGAAAAAAAAAAGAATTATAATACCCAAAGGTTTCTGTGAAGAGCTAATACACAGATGCCCTATTTTGTACAAACCATCCACAGCTATCAAATTCTAGGTTATTTAGTAGGTGAAGCAAGTAAGAAATCTTAAGACCTAAGAGCCCATTTCTTTTTGGTGCACTTTGCTTCTTCATTTGATTTTCTGGGTTCTGTTTTACGATGTGATTAATTGAGATTAAGCCCACAGAAAAGAGAAAAGAAAAAGAAGAAAAAGAAGAAAAAGCAAGTAAATGTGTCATTATTCTCAGATAAGAAAAATGTTCTCCTTTGTAGCTTTTGTTTGTCTTTGCAAATTAGGTCTTTACATAACATAATTGGGCTCAAAATCAACCTGTGAATAAAGCAGTACTGAGTTTGTGCTAGGTGGTAGATAATGAATGTCAAATGGCAAGCATGCAAGACTACAAAACCATGGACTCAAACTACCTCTGAGGCATTATATATCTTTCATATACTGTTATTCACGATTGGACTGGAGCAGGACTTACAGGAGACTTGTGAATATTTATTATAAGTTTATAACTTAATCCTGTCAAAAGCAGTTTTCTTATTGATATATAGATCCTTAATTTTTTCATTCCACATTGAAATTGGAACACAATTTTATTTTTTGGTTAAGCCAAAATTGGGATATGCACAGGCTCCTCTTATTAAAATATTAGTAGAAGAGTACTCGCGCAATGTGCGAAACACATCTCGATTTTAATGTTGTATTTTATTATTTGTCTCTGTCGATGTTATAATACGATTTTATGTGTTTTTAAGAAAGCAATAATGATTTTATTTTTGAATAAAATATAAATTTGAAGATATCATAAAAATTTGAAATGGAACATATCAATGTTAATATCAAATCACTATTTAAAAGTTCTCATTTTTTATGTAATTTCTTTAATTT